TTTGGATTTGTAACAAATGTTTCTGGTAATATGATGGACATGGTCTCTGACCACTTGGAGAAATGTGGCTTAATTAGTGAGTCGTCTTCTCCTCTTCTTCCTTTTATTCTTTTTTGCTTTTCGCTTCTTCTTGTCTTTCTTCTTTTTCCTCCTCCTCACTCTCCTCTTTTTCTCTTCCTTAAATTCCACAGTAAGTCATTTCCTCTTACTATTTAACTTTATTTGAAGTGCTATCACACAAATGGTTTCTGTACTTCCCAATGGAGAGAGAATTTCTGGCTTGAGAGGCAGAACTTCTGGCTTCTAACCTTGCGTTCACCATTACCTATAAGTAATCGTGCCTCTTTTTGCACTTTTCTCGTCTCCTAAAACAGAAAGCATGTTGTGTCCCTTAGCAACTTCACAGATTTATGTTGAAGATAAAGTGTATGAGGGTTGGGTGGGGGAGAAGAGAAAATGCTTAGCAAATTGGAAAAGATGTTACTAACACTGTTAAAACAAGAAGCTGCATTTAAAAAACTCATCAGTTAAAATATTGGAAGAAAATTGTTTTTTAATGTTGTTTTGTGTGAGGGGTTTGGGGTGGCTGTGCCAGTGTTTCTGATGAAGCATATGCTTAAGGAGAGACAGCCGTGATCTGTGATCTCACTCCATGTTAAATCGTCACATCTCAGCCCCCCCCCCCCCGATCTTCTCCGGCCCAGATACATCGAACAGCTTTGCGATGTAATTTCACAGATTCTGCAATTGAGGGCTTTCAGATTCCTTAATATAAATCCAAAAATTATCTTCCCTGTGTTTCCAACGCAGCCTCTTTCCTCCACATGGAATATAAAGTATCAGACACTAACAATAGAATATTAAAAGCCAAATTTGAAGCAATTACCCACCGTTTTGGAGAACAGTCCCACACACAGCTGGCACCCAATGAGAAAGCCTGTGCCTTGTCACCCACTATCTCTGCTACTCATGGAATCAGAATGTCAGAGCTGTAAAGGATCTAATAGACTATCTTCCCTCTCATTTAACAAATGGAGAAAGTGGGGTGCAGGAAGGGTACTGAGTCACTCCTCGATGAATGTTAAGATTAGCGCAGAGGCCCCTGTCTCCTAGTTCATTGCCATTGTTGCTACACATATCTGCTTCCTTTGCTGCATTAAGAGGGAAACTGTGTCATTTATCTTCCCACTCGGGTTGGGAGTGAAGGGCCCCATTTGTTTAGCACTGTATGCTATCTCTTGGACTACAAGGAAGACATGATGGTGTGTAAGTCCCTCTTTCATCTCTGTTCTAGTCAACATGTTTGTATCTTGACTGAAAACTTAAAAAGCAAACAGCACTAAACCATTAACTGTTACCCAAATATGCCAAGTTACTGGTAAAGATTGAGACTGTTATGGGCAGACTGGAACATAACATCATCTTGACCTTTTTCTTCATCTCTGGTCTTGTTGAGAAGGAGCTGATTTTAAGTTTCTCTTGAAGGTACAGGCTGGGAAGTTGCCTTTCTTTATGGCTCCTTTCTTTGACTAGGGTTATATACCTGTAACCTAAATAGTAATTTAAGAGTAATTACAATCTTTATTTGAACCTTTAGAAGAAATTTATAAAAAATCCAAATGTAACCTTCAGGAAACTTCTCAAAGAACCTCTTCTTTAAAAGGCTCCCGCTGTTCTGGAACCTTCCATCCATCCAAATCCATGGCTCTTTTAAAGATATCTTCCTGCCTTGCCCTCCATCAGTTCTCCTGGTTCTTTATTATATTTGTTCATCTAACTTCTGTCTCTGACTTTATACTCTACCCTTTCAAGTTTCTAATGTTTCTTTTTCATATTCTTTAAAACTGCTCCTCAAATAATAATAATAATAATAATAAAGCTCTTAACTAGCATAATTTTCTTTTAGAAGACAAGAGGCTGGTAGAGAAGAGTTTCAATTTAAATGTCTCAGGCACAGACTTCAGTGAAAAGGGAAGCCACATCATACTGTAAGCTTCCTACAGGAATACAACTGGATATAGTGCAGGTTATGTATCTGTTTCATCCCAGAACCGATCACAGTGGGACAAAGAAATGCTGGAAACAACAGGATCTGGATATTGGATTTAACAGTGACAAGTCTCAAGGTGATGATGACAATATAATGGGACAATTAAGCACATAGACTTGATACCAAAAAATGAGCTACATTTAAGCCCTGGCCCTAATATTTATTAACTGTGTAACTTTGGGAAAAATATTAAAACTCTCAGTCCCCTTATCTATTAAGTAGGTGTAAAGTGTGCGAATTAATGTGGAGCCAGTGCCTCACATATGAAAATACATTGCCATCCAGTCAGAACTAACGCTTACTTAACCTTCCTTTGAGTTTCCAAGGTCGTAAATCACAAGAGACAAGGCTGCCCAGCTTTGTCCTATGGAGCTCTGGTAGAGTCCAACCTCTAGGGAGGTGCGACCTCAGAAGCACAGCTCCCTACAGATCAGGCTCTATGAATGAAGTCCAACGGATAGTTGTTTTTGTTGTCAATGTAATACAAAGGAAATTAGACCAATGAAGGATGAGAAATTCTTCTTCTTTTTATTTTTCTTCATTTCCTCTTTCTTTATATTTTTCTTTCTTTTACAGACATGTTCAACAAATAAGAAAACTAATAAGCCATGTAGGAAAGCACATAAATAAGTGAGGTCATATACTGAGTTATTTAAGGAGCTTATGCATTTAAAAGGCATGTGGAAAATCTGGATGAAGGCGTGTATAACCAAGAATGGCTCGAGAAAGCAGCAGACCCAGAAATAGTTAAATCTCAGAATTAAGGGAAGAAATCTGGCATCATTTGCAGCAATAAGAATAGTTTTCCAGCCAGAAAGATTATAGGGGGAAAGTTACAGTCCTGGATTGATTAAAAATATTGGGCTGTGTTAAGTAAATTTAAATCTCAGGCGTTTGAAGATATTGGTTTGATAAGACTACTGATTGCTATTTTTTGAGGCTGGAAAAAATGGTGGAAGCCTGAAGACCAGTAAATGTTGCCCTAATTTTAAATAAATACTGAAGCTAGACCTCAGAAACTATAGTCTTAATAATCTGAAATAGACCTTACCAAAACACCTGGGTTTTACAAATATAATTTATGACTAATAATCAGAGCTATTACATTTAAGAATATACTTCATGCTAACAAATTATAGTACAGATTTACTGTTAGAGACCCTTCAGCAAGGTGCTAGACAAAGCCTTTCATGAAAGGGTAGATCCCAGCTGGTGACACAACCAGGCACGCTGAGTGCGACCTGTCTGATGGGAAGGCCATATGTGGGGCAGTGCTCCATAGTTCTTTATACTAACCCTACTCAAGCTCTGCCCTTAACTAAATATATAAAAGGAAGGTGCAAAACTGAACGATGTGGGATGCTGCAAGCACGTAAGAAATGAGATTATTTATAGATGTTAAACAAGGAGCCCTGGTGATAAAACTGCTAAGTGTTTTGTTGTTAACTGAAAGACTGTCAGTTTAAATCCACCCGTCAGCTCCCTGGGAAAAAACCTGGTGGTCTGCTACAGTAAATATGACCAGCTAAAAAACACTGTGGGGCGGATCTGACATATCATCTCGACATCAAAATCCACTCAATGTGCCTAGCTACAATGATAGATACTAAATAAGCATGACGTGAGCCTTGAATTTGTTATTACTTTAAACAACCTTAAATGAGTGATCCCAAACCAGTAAAATGAAATTTAGCCAGAATAAAAGAAAAGTTGTAGATTTTTTTGGACAAAGTCAAAAGAGTCAAATGAGTAAAAAATATTTAAAAATAATAAACTGTATAAGTATTAGAAAGACCTGTAAGAATTTGCAGCTATTTGTTTCAAAAAGATTAAGACTTTGAGTTGATAGTAAACTCATTATAATAGTATATTATCTTTGTCAGAAATGAACTGACCACATATATACATGACCTTAAAGATGAAAAAGTATATAACTGAAGTGAGGCTCACTATAAAGATTGGTATTCTTTTTCTGTACTGTATTTCAGGAAAGACCATCATGATAGGGTTTGTATTCAGAATGGCCTTTAGAAAAGGAAATAGTCTAGAGACTATACTCCTCATTTAAGAAACTGGGGCTGTGAGAAGAGATAACTTAGTATCTCTTGAAAGAGTAGAGAGGTCTTAATAGGCACAATAGCCCCAATCAGTAGAAGGCAGATGTGGGAGAACACTAGTAAGTTATCTAAAAACTGTTGTTTTGTTGTTTAATGCCATCGAATCGTAGACGACTCATAGCGACCCTATGAACGAACAGCCTGAGCACTGTTCGTACACAGAGTTTCTGGAGGCAAGCCATTTCGGAGGTGGATGCCGCTCCTGCTTCCAGGCTTGATTTAGTCGGGAAGCTCCAGCCAACACTGTCCACCATGGGTGCCCATTACCACGATTGGTACATCACTGTCACAGGCTTCAGCATCACAGTACGCACTAGCCTCCACACCTGTCCCATCTGCAGCAGGTGGATGATGGACTACCAGATCCACACGGAGAGGCGGCACAGGCGCTGCGCCCCCGGCGTGGCCGAGCCCCCAGCGCCTGGCCCGCTGCGGACCGCACCATGGCCGTAGCCGGCCCCCATCATGGGGGGGGGGGCGGCTGCTGAGCCCCTACTGAAAGCAAAACTTAAGTCATTTCCAACGCTCGGGACCCTTCTTTCAGTTTAGAACTTTACATGGGAGGAGGCTGCTTTATCTTTTCCTTATAGGCTGGTGGATTTGAACTGTCAACATTTAATAAGCAGCCCAATGTGTAACCTATACAATTAGTGCTCCTTAAGTTGCCCGGAAGTAATATGGGTTGACCTGTTCTCAGAGATTTCTAACTCAAAGCTGAACAACCATTTATCTGTGTGATATCAACGTATTTCCTGCTCTGGGTCGTACTTTCAGGAGATAATTTATGATGTCCATTCCAACTCTGAGCTTCTGTGATCTTCTCCCCTCTCTAGGGATGCAGTGGAATGTGGTGGCCAATGGGAGAGTCAGTGTCATCCCCCAGCAACTCCTCCTTTGGTGGCTGTTCAGCCCAGTGACACTTAGGCCAATTGTGCAGTGACCCAGAAGACAGCCATGCCTCCAAGAGAGGTCCAGGTCCTAAACCGCTGCTCGCACGTAACGGACCTGGCATTCTCATCGCCTGAGCGTTCTGTTGGTGCAGGTGGTCCATGCAACGTGCTGTTCCTCTGGATTCCAAAAAGTGACGCGGAGGGAGTCAGGCACCGGAAGGCCTCCTTATCCACTATGGTTCTCTGGAGATTCCCCCACAAGAGGATCTTATCATTTCCTGTCACTCCTTCTTCCTGGAGTCTTCACCTTTGTCCCACACTTTATTGGAGTCTTCGACGTGTTCCCCTTACTGTGCCAGCCCTGTCTCACTCATGTTCAAAATACAATCATTTAGTCTGAGTTCTGTCCTAGATGACTCCAAATACTCTTTCTTTGATGTGTCTGCTCACAGACATTATCAAAATGCATCGTCTCTGAGCCTGTCTTGCTCAGAACCGTGTTCCACATTCCTTGCGTGGGAATCCATCGTAACTGTGTTGCTTAGTCCTGTTCTGTGCCAGACTCTACTATCCTTTTCTCTCCCTGTCTGGGACCAAATGTGTTCTCTGGGCCAGCTGCTGTGTGTCAGTCATAAATGTCCAGTTGCTCTTCCTATGTCCAGTGTCAGTCTTTCTCTTTAAAACAGGCTCCACTTACTTACCATGGGGAAAAAAACCCAAAAAACAGGGATCTGTTAGAGGAAAACCATCTCTGAAGGAACTATGGCGAGAAGTGGAGACAGCCATTCTCCACCAGTGTGGTAGTCGGTGGTCACAGGCCTGTCTCTTTTGAGATGTTTCCTTTGCTCTTGGATTAGAGTGCAGCATCTCCTCCCAGAGGACGCTGGGCAGGGATGGCTACTTCATAGACATGCAATACCTTCTTGTTGCTGAGTGCATGCTGAAGCCCATGGAATCCACACAGAACCCTGTGTGCATCCCTGTCAATCTCAAAGGAGAAAATTACACACTGCACAGACTTGTTGCTACATGAAGGCCTTCGTATGCCACAGAGCTGAGAGGAGAAAACAATGCTTGGCTTGGAGTGAGAACCTGAGTTCTGACCCTGGCTCTGCTCCAAATGTTCTCTGAGCTTTTGGACATTATCCTTCCATCTACATGCACTAATTAATGTTGAACTGGATGATTTCTAAGATCCATTTTTTGTTTCTAGGACAACAGGATACTGTTACAGCCATCAGCTACCTCGAAAAGACTTGACCTGCATGGTTTTGGCTCTGTTTCCACTGACCTGCACTCCCATCTAGGCCTTCTAACCCCTAACCTTGCCAGCTTTGCCGCTCTGATTATCCTGAGTGTATTCCAGTCAAAGCTTGGTCCCTGACTCCTGCCAACTGCCCCAGAGCAAATGTTCTAGGGAGATAGATGTGGCCACTTCCCTGAGCTACGGGGAGGGGGGGGTAATCATTTGGACCTTGGCTGTGATTTGATAGCATCTCAGGACTTTATTCCCCAGCCCCCTGCTGCTTTAAGAAGTGTAAGTTATCATTTCTCTTGATGTTCTCTTTAGTCTTGGATTCAAACCAGACAGGAAAAAGGTTCTGGATGAGAAAAGAAGATTGTCGAAACCATCCAAATGCCGAAACAAATTTTCTGTCATTGAGAGGCTTAATTTTGTTGGACAGGAAGTCATGCCTCGGAAGGAAAAAAGAGTCTCTAAAGGAGAAATTCTATTGAAAGCTCCTATCTGCTGTTGAGAAACTGTGCTCTATTGCTGAAATATTGTTTGTGTGGGTTAGAAGTCTCTCACATCAGTGGAGCAAGTTTGAGTGGGGAACTTCTTCTCAAAGATAAGGGAAGCTTATTTAAGTTCAAGCCAGCACCCTGAATCAGTGACTTGACCAAGCCCTTTTGCTTTTTCAAGTCAGAGCTCCCCTCCTATTGATAAGTTTGGGACTTAAAAGATGTTTAAAGATGGTCTTTTTCTAATATATTAGAAAGGAGGAAACAGCAACTCTTGAGTCCCCACTTTCTATGGCTGTCTGCCCCATGCGCATGAATGACAAGCACAGCAGAGAAACATCACAAACACAACTCAGTTACTGATTTAATGTGTGACCTCACTCTTCTCATAAACTCTCCTGCCTACTTTTAAAATGTTGTTGTGCCAATAGATAATATCTGTGAAAACCTTCTTTAAATTATAAAATACCATTCTCTGTTTTGTTATTACTTTGGATGCTTGTATAATCTCTCCAGAGCTCTCAAGGACTGAGAATTTGCTCTCCAAAGAGGCGAGCCAACTTAAAGAGTGAGTTTTCAGTGTTGAAAAACAATACCAGGTCGCACTACACACATCAACACTGCAAATGTTTACAACATGAGCACTGTAATTTGAAGGGATTCTTTTATTTTCTAAGTAAAGGAGTGGGTGATGAAAGATCAAGATGACCAGCTAATTTTGTTAAGAATGAGCCTAACTTTTCATGTAACTTCAAAGTCATATGAAATAAATTCAAATACCTGTTTTCCATGGAAAAAAATGTCAAGGAAATATATCTGAGCCGAGGAAATCATCTCCTGCCCTGTAAATTCAATACATTTTTGTATTCTATGGGAAAAATTCAAACATTGACCATACTATGAATGATTAGTGATAAAAATATTATGTAAAAAACCTACTACAATAAAGAACCAAGTAACTGCTGAGACTTTTCTTATTCTGATAGTCACCAAAAATGATTGTTATAGTTTATTGTTATTTTAACTTACACTTTTTATTTACTATGTTAGTAAAATAGAATTACAAGTATGTCACACGGTTTATAATGAGCTTAGTGTCTGTACAATCAACATATGCCGTACACGTTTGGGTATTATATGAATCATAAAACATAATTTTATAATTTAAGGGATTATATAATTTAATGCGGGTTATGTCTGTTTCTAGAATATGATGCCTTAGTTATCTAGTGCTTTTATAACTGAGATGAAAGTAGCTGCTTTAAAAAAACACAAATTCATTCTCTTACAGTTTAGGAGGTTGGAAGTCTAAATTCAGGATGCTAGCTCTAGGGCAGCCCTCTGTCTTTCTTAGGTCTGGGGGAGGGTCCTTGTTTCCTTCAACATCTGCAAGTCTTCTGTTCACTGGAGATCTCCGGGTGTTTTAACCTTCCCCACTGTCAAGGAGTTTCCTCACACAGAGACTCGAGTCCAAAAAGACACACTCTACTCTTGGCAGTTCTTATTTGGTGGTACTAGGATCTTCTCGTTCCTCCACTTTTGTTTATGCCCTTGTTATTGTTGTTGTTATGTGCCTTCAAGCTGCTTGGGACTCCTAGTGACCCTATGCATAATAACTCTGATGCCTGCTCTGTCCTGAAACAGTCTCACTGCCTCTGGCACCCCTACCACCATTACCTGTTACTGTGTCAATCCATCTCAGCTGAGCTCTTCCTTTTTTAACGTCTCTTTTTTCTATAGTGGCATGAAAGATATTATAGTCCATACTCTATGGAAACTCTCATTACTTGAATCATGGCTATGTTGCATTCCACCCTTAATCCTCTTGCAGCTATTTAGTTTATAAGATTGGGGCTCATTCTAAAGCTTTGGAAGGACATAAATCAAACCATGAGAAATGGTTAGTGGTATCTATGCTTTATTTGAAGTTGAGGTTTTGAAACCATTGAGCCAATACCAACTCATGATGACTATCAGGTTTCCGACAGTGTAAACCTTTATAGGAGTAGACTGCTTAATCCTTTTTCCCCATAGCCACTGGAGGATTTGAATTGGCAACCTTTTGCTTAGCAACCAATATCAAAGCATTATACAGTTATACAATTTATTCTTACAGAATGCACTATTGGCTTTATGATAACCTAAACTACAGAACAATCTCACTGATTTCACATGCAAGCAAGATTTTACTGAAGATGATCCAAAAACGACTGGAACAGCACATCGACAGAGAAGTACCAGAAGTCCAGCCTGGGTGTAGAAGGGGTCGTGGTACCAGAGATATTGTAGCTGATGTTAGATGGAAAGCAGGGAATACCAGAGGAATGTCTATCTGTGTTTCATTGACTATGCAAAGCATTTGACTGTGTAGATCATAACAAACTATGGCTGACTCTGAAGAGAATGGGAATCCCAGAACACCTGATCGTTCTAATGAGAAACTTATACTTGGACCAGGAGGCAGTCATCAGAACAGAGCAAGGGAACACTGCATGGTTCAAAATTGGGAAGGGCATACACCAGGGATGCCTCCTGTCTCCATACCTTTTCAACCTACATGCAGAACAGATTATCTGGGAGGCTGGGCTCTATGAGGAGAAATGTGGGGTCAAGATTGGTGGAGGATTTATCAACAATCTGCTTTATGTGGATGACACAACCCTGCTTGCTGAAACTGAAGAGGACCTGAAGCGCCTGCTGCAGACTGTCAAGGACTGCAGCCTACAATATGGATTGAGGCGGCTCAGTGTCAAGAAGACAAAGATTCTCACCACTGGACTAACTGGCAGCATCAGCATGGATGGTGAAGAGATTGAGATTGTACACAGCTTTAGTTTGCTTGGCTCCACAGTCAACAGTCTTGGCACCAGCAGCCAGGAAATTAAAAGGCGCATTACCATAGGAAAGTCTGCTGTTAGGGACCTCTCCAAAGTACTGAAGAGCAATGGTGTCTCTCTGGAGACTAAGGTGCATCTGATACAGGCCATGGTCTTCACAATCACTTGTTATGCATCAGAGAGTTGGACAATGACCAAGGAGGATAGAAGGAGAATTGATGCCTTTGAGCTGTGGTGCTCGAGAAGAGTATTGAGAATACTATGGACTGCTAGGAAAACAGATTTGTCCTGGAAAGGGTTAAACCGGGTGGCTTCTTGGAGGCAAGGATTCTGAGGCTCCGTCTAACATACTTTGGACATGTTGTGAGGAGAGACCGGTCCTTAGAGAGGGACATCATGCTTGGGAGGGTGGAGGGACAGCGCAGGAGAGGAAGGCCCTCTATGAGGTGGATTGATTCAGTGACTGGGATAATTGGGATGGGAGTGTCAGAGAGTTCGATTGGCACAGGACAGAGTGGAGTTTAGGGCTGTTGTACATAGGGTCGCTATGAGTCGCAAGCGACTCGACGGCTCATAACAACACCACCACCACACTTTTCCTGCAAACTCAGAAATATATTCCAGGGTAAAACAAACAAATAAACAAACAAACAAA